CTGGGTAGGGCAGCCTATTCATGTCAGTGGGAAACAAGTCCCCAACCCTTTCCTTAAAGCGCAGCACCATGTGGTTTGGCATGCGTCATTATCCACTTGGACTCCAGAAGATTTTCCCCCCTTCCTGACCAGCCCATTTTTTGTGATATGGCACTGCATTACTTTATCTGACAATTGTGCGGTGATGCAATGCTGTACATAAATGAAATTTGTAATTTCTTCCCCCCACAAGTAGAGCGGTGGTATTTGACCACCACTAAAAAAAAAAAAAAAAAAAAAAGTTTTGTTTTCTGCTATAACACATCCAATAAAATATTTTTTTAACCACTTGCCCTCCAGAGGATTTACCCCCCTTAATGACCAGGCCTCTTTTTGCTACTTGGCGCTGCACTAATTCAACTGATAATTGTGCGGTCATGCAATGCTGCACCCAAACAAAATTTACGTCCTTTTTTTCACACAAATAGAGCTTTTTTTTGGTGTAATTTGATCACCTGTGCGCTTTTTATTTTTCACGCTATAAACAAAAAAAGCCAAAAATTTTGAAGAAAAACAATATTTTTTATTTTCAGCTATAAAAAATATATAGTAAACTCAAAGTTGGTTATAAATTTAGGCCAAAATGTATTCTGCTACATGTTTTTGGTAAAAAAAATCCCAATAAGTGTATATTTATTGCTTTGTGTGGAAGTTATAGCATCTACAAACTATGGTATAAATACTGCAATTTATGCCATTTTTCTGCTATACAGCACTGCGCTAGTTTAACGGACAATTGCGCGGTCATGCAATACGGTACATAAATGAAATTTACATCCTTTTTTTCCCCACAAATTGAGCTTTCTTTCGGTGGTATTTGATCGCCTGTGCGGTTTTTATTTTTTGCGCTATAAAAAAAAAAAAGGCTGACAATTTTGAGGAAAAAAAACAATATTTTGGACTTTTTGCTATAAAACATGTCCAGTAAAAAAGAAAATGCAAAAATCAAATTTAGTCATAAATTTCTGCCAAAATGTATTCTGCGACATGTCTTTGCTAAAAAAAAAACCCAATACGTGTAAATTAATTGGTTTACGTGAAAGTTATAGCGTTTACAAATGGCGGGAAAGATACTGGGATTTTTAGGGTTTTTTATACTAATAATGGCGGCGATCAGCGAATTATGGCGGCGATCAGGGACTTATGGCGGCAACCAGGGACTTATGGCGGGACTGCGACGAACATTCTGACATTGGGGGGTACTGACTTGGGGTCACTGACATCCCCAAAAACACTAATACAGTGATCAGTGCAAAAAAAAAAAAAACTGACACTGTACTAATGGCAATGGGGAGGAAGGGGTTAACTTTATTTAGCAGGGAAGGGTTATAGGAGTGAGGGGAGTGTTTTACTAGGGGGCGGGGGTGTGTGCTGGGCGGGACAAGGCTGATCGAGAAAGTGAAACTTCTTTCTCGATCAGCTCATCCTCGAGCTGACAGAGAGGCGACATACAGCACAGCTACTGCAGCTGTGCTCTCTGTCACCGTTTACCGCCGATCGCCGGGACATAGCCGCTAACGAGCGGCTGTGACCCGGCAACTGACATCTGCGGCGGTGATCCACAGGACAAATAGGGCGGCAGTGCGCCTCGCGCGCGCCCCCTATTTGTTTACAAAACACACGTTTTAAAACGTGGTTTTGCCTGTGAGTGCCGCCCTGCATGTACAGTGGCTGGCCGGCATGCGGTTAAAAATCAAATTTCTTCATAGGTTGAGGCCAATGTGTAGTCTGCTACATATTTTTAGTTAAAAATCCAAATTAGCGCATATTGATTGGTTTGCACACAAGTTATAGCGTTTACAAACTATGGGATATACACTGGATTTTTTTTTTTTTTAAATACTAGTAATATCAGCGATCAGTGACTTATAGTGGGACTGCGATATTGTGGAAGACATTTTTACACTGACAGTTTGTGGGAACCAGTGACACTAATACAGTGATCAGTGCTAAAATTATGTACTGACACTGGCTGGGAAGGGGTTAAACATCTATGGCGATCAAAGCGTTAACTGTGTGCCTAGCCAGGGTTTTGTGTACTGTGTTTTTACTAAGGGAAGTGATGGATCTTATTCCCTGCTATGTAGGGACACAAGATCCATCACTTCCCCCCCTCAGAACGGAGATCTACCTTGTTTAGATAGGCAGAGCTCAGTTCTGAGTCTCTGCCCAACGATTGTCAGGTGTCGGAGGACATTCATTGGCCAGCACCTGCTGACCGGTTTTTGCTGCAAATATTCACAGCAGGAGCGACCCGCTGGCGGAGCATGTGCGCACCCCCTAGGTGGAAGTGCAGAATCATGTTTATATACATGATTTTGCACAGGAGGGCTGACCTGTAGCATATCTGCTGTGGGGAAGTCCTAAAGTGGTTAAGAATTAAAGCAATTCCAAAGGCTCTATGCACTTTTTTGGTGATCCCACGCTGGCGTTGTCCACTCCTTTCTGCGCTCCCGTGCCGGGCTGTGTGCATTCTCAGACACACACAGAGTGGCTTGGCCATGTCCCCTGCTTTCTCCTCACAGGATGATTGGGAGCAGAAGGAGCCTATGGCTCCGCTCCTGCCTGTGTCTCCTATGAGAAGAGGAAGGGAGGGTAGAAGACCTGCAAACGGAATAAGCACTGGATCATAAGAGGAGGCAGATAAGTGTTTAGGGATGGGGAAGGGTTTGAGGAGAAAAACTGGTTTGTTTTTTTTTTTTTCTCCTAATGCAGGGAATATATTAAGCTTAAAAACTAGTAGCCTTTAGAACTACTTTAATGACACCCCCGTAATTCTGCTCAAGTACAGCACATTTCTTTGTGAGTCAGGAACAAGCATTCCCCAGCCACAGAGATGTGAACCTAGCCTTAAGGCTCTTTCCCAGTATGTGGGATGACCTGTGTTTTTCTGAGCTAGATGAACAGGTCACAAACACACTGAATTTAACATTCTATGCTCCCTGTTCACACCACAATGCTGGTGTGATGGGAAGAGAAAAAAAGAAATGCAGCATGTCTGCATTTTTCCCACAGCATAGTGGACAACACTGCATTTCACCAAGCTGTTGTGTGAAGACATGAATGAAGTGTCCACAACAAAAAGTAAAAAAGGGAGGAGCAGTGCTCCGTGCATTGCACTGCACCCTGCTGAAGCTCACATTTACAGCTATCAGCACAGGAAAACAGAGTGCAGGCATGTGTGAACCAGGCATTAAAGGGTTAGTTCACATTTACAGAAAAAATGCATTGGTGAACTAACACCAGATACTTCAGTCTCCACTGTACTTACCTTTGGGGTTGCTGAGCACCCCTGAAGCCGGTCCAGTATTCTGGGGATTTGAAATCCCTACTCTTTTCCCTCTTCTCTATGCAGTGCTTCCAGGACAGGCCAGATTGATTTACTGTAACAACACTGACCAATCATAGCCGATCTATTCTATCCCGGAAGCGCTGCATGAAGAGGAAGAAGAGTGGGAATCTCAAATCCCCGGACCGCTGGACTGACTGCAGGAGTGCTAAAAGCTCAGCGGAGGTAGGTCCAGCAGGGACAAGGTATGGAGGGTGTGCATCTTAATGTTTTTTCCATTGAAGTGAACACGTTAAGGCTGAAGCTTAATATTTGTGGAGGGGGGGGGGTACAGAGCCAAACTCTTTACATGTAATAGGGTGTATCCCATGTCCTGTAGGCTGCAGCTTCATGTACAACACCTCCCTTCATGCTGCTGGGTACTGCCCAGAGCGAGGACCTTCTGCTGCTGTAGCACAGCCAGGTACTGCCCCGAGCGGTCACCTCCTGGTGCTGCAGTACCGCCCCGAACGGTCACCTCCTGGTGCTGCAGTACCGCCCCGAGCGGTCACCTCCTGGTGCTGCAGTACCGCCCCGAGCAGTCACCTCCTGGTGCTGCAGTACCGCCCCGAGCGGTCACCTCCTGGTGCTGCAGTACCGCCCCGAGCGGTCACCTCCCGCAGTACCGAGCGGTCACCTCCTGGTGCTGCAGTACCGCCCCGAGCGGTCATCTCCTGGTGCTGCAGTACCGCCCCGAGCGGTCATCTCCTGGTGCTGTAGGGTTCAACAGCAGCACCTGTTAGTACAAAAGCCTTGCTCTGCTTGTCTGCTCCTGTCACTATTTATTCACAGAAGTCATAATAATATTGGAAATGGGCAGAGAAGATTCCGATCATTTATCCGCTCCTCCTCCAATCACAGAATGCATTACATTGTGAGACAATAAGTTCTATGAATGGTGGAGCAGCACAAGTCCTCCATGCTCACAGCTAACCCTTGCATCGCTGGGCAGTATGAATGGGAGATTTTTCTATGAAGCAGCAGCCTGCAGAACAGAAGATACACACCACTACACATAACTAATGTGTTTAGAGCCATTCCCAACCCCAACCCCCCAAAACACTTCAGATGTAAACAGTTGAATCCACTATGCATGTCCTACAGAAAGCAATGTAAGGAATAGGGGTTACCATAAATGCTCTGATCAGTCAGGACTGGCACAAAGCCTAGTGAAGGCATATGAACAAAATAAAGGCTCTCACATGTTTCCTGCTTCTCCTCATCCAGGAAGTGATGGCCGACCAGGACGCCCAGATCACCACATAGCGCCCCAAGCCGTGTTCCCGCTGGCTCAGCTCTCTCCTATCCCACACCGGATATCAAATGTAAATAGCCAGCAGCAACCAGCCGAAAAGACTGGGGACACTCGAGGAATTGAAATCTTCCGCCCCGGCTATTCACCAATCACCAGACAGTATCCGGGTCAGGAAGCCGCTAGCAACCAATGGGATAAAAACGCCTGGGCAAGATGACTCAGGATAGGAGAGGATTGTCCGTTTTAAAACGACAATATCAGTGATTGGTCGCCTCCGCGCTGTGTTAGAAAACAGAGCCTTTGATTGGCTTGGTGCTCGTTTCAGGTTCAATGACAGCTTCCAGCCGCAGTCACGCCCCCTGTTCCCTGATTATGCATGCAGGCTCCGCCTCAGGTCACGTCGCGGGACTTTTTAAAGAGCTGGTGGGTGGTAGCGCGCCTCTGATCAGCTGTTTGTAGAGCCATGCATCGGTAATGGGGCTGGGCAGGCGGTGGTAGTGCATGTGTATGGCTGGGAGAGGCTGCGGATGGCCCCCGTTCCTTGGTTGGTGTGTCTAGAAGATGAACCATGTTAGGTTATGGTAGGCTTTTTAAAGGGAGCTTCCAGGTTAAACTGGATGTTCGGTTCTTGACAGCGCAGATTGAACACGTGATTAACCAATGATTAGAACCTCCTAGTTGCTCCATAGCTCTTCCCATCTCTATCGCAGCCTTTCTTTTGCTAGGTTCACACCTATGCAGATTGCGTTTGAGCTTTTTCTGTTTTTTTTTTTTTTTTTTTTGCACTTGCTTTTTTACGCATTATTGCTGTGTTTTTGATGAGTGTTGCTTTTTTTTTTTTTCCAGGCTGCTAGGCAGATTTAAAAAGCATCAAAAACATGACAATCGTAGCATGTTCTTTTCCTGCAGTGTTTCCATTAAAGTCTATAGAAACAAAATGCAACTTTTTGCATTCAAAAAAAGTCCCTGACCCTTTCCAAAAAACACACTGGGTGAAAACGCGCGGATGTGAACGTATCCCATAGGAAATCATGTTCAATGGACTGTACTGTGCTTCTGCAAAACACTACAGAAAATGCCTAGGTGTGAACCTAGGGTTAACCAGGGTGCCTTGGCAAAATGTCTAAAAATTGCCAAAAACTTTTTTACAAGCCAGCGGGTGGAACAAGCCCTGCCTTTTAGCTACACAAAGCCACAGGCAGGGGAGGACTGACAATTGGGGAACTTGGGCACTGCCCGGGGTCAGTAGGGGGCCCAATGAGATGTCCCTATTACCTTTCATAGGATTTTTTTGAGTGTGGGCGAGGACACAGGGGCCCCATGAGTTGTCAGTCCGCCCCTGGCCACAGGTTTTCATTGTGCACTATTTCGACCTTATAGTCGCCGGAGTCCTGATAACCAATGACATCATCAGTTGATAAGGAGAACTTCAGCTGCCAGCACAGCAACCTAGTTTGGCCCTCCCTTGTCCCTCTCCATCAATGCTGGGGTAACAGTAGCTCAGTGGAATACTAGTCAGTGTGCAAAAGTGTATTTGCTTTGGAAGAATAAATCCCCTTTAATGATGGGTATCTTATTTATGTGGATATTACTGTTGTATAACTGTTAGAATAGCTCTTTACATTTTAGAATGGGGTGCCTCAAGACTGTCCATAATTTTAAAGGGTGCCTTGACTGAAAAATAGTTGAGAAACATTGTCTTAGTGCAAATGGACTTGCAACAGACCATCTTAGCCCTCATGCACACTGGATGTTTTTGCAGCTGCTGTTTTTGGCTTTTGATGGGTTTTTTTCTACAGCCAGTGAATCCCCCAGCATGTTATCCCATGTGTCCATGCACACACAGACTGTAATCAGCGTTTTTGACTGGAAAAAAAACCACCAGAACTAGTGGGTTTCTAGAGTTTTCTTTTTTAGCTGTAAAAATGCTTGAATGCTGTAAAACACCACAAACTGGTGTTTTTGGACACATTTTTTTATTTATTTTTTGGTAAAAAAAAAAAAAGCTAACGCAAATTATTATACAGGATTTATGTAGCACCAACAGTTTGCGCAGCGCTTTACAATATAAGGGAGATAGTACAATTACAATACATTTCAGTATAGAAGGAATAGGAGGGCCCTGCTCGTGGAGCTTACAATCTAAAGGAAGGGGGAGGTGATAGCTGCGGGGGATGATCTGGTGGAGGTGATTCAAGTACAGTTCTTAGGTGGAGGTGGGGTAGGCTTCCCTGAAGAAATGAATTTTCAAAGATCGCCTAAAGGCAGACAGGGTGGGGGCTGACCGAACATGCTGTGGTAGGGAGTTCGAGGATGGGAGAGGCTCTGGAGAAGTCCTGGAGGCGAGCGTGGGAGGTGATGAGGGAGCTAGAGAGCAGGAGATCATGGCAGGAGCGGAGTGGGCGATTTGGGCGGTATCTGTGGATGAGGTTGGTGATGTAGCTAGGGGCAGTGTTGTGGATGGCTTTGTAAGCTGTGGTTTGTATTTTGAATTGTATACGTTGGGTTAGTGGAGTGCAAATGTGGGAAAACATGGCTAAAAAAACTGAAAGACTCATGTTAACATGACTTTACACTGCTAACGTTACTAGCGTTCTCAAAACGCCCAGTGTGCATGGAGCCTTTGTTTCCATAAGTGAAATTGTTTTAGGGTAATCCGATTTTTTTTTTTTTTTTTTTTTTTTTTTTTTTTTTTTTTTTTTTTTTTCCCTGAAATGATGCAAAAAGTAGTTGCATCTCTGCTGTTCTAGATTTCTGAAAGTCTTGTCATTGGGCTCTGCAGTTGAAGCGGTGTATGATCGTCATTCATAGTCTAGGTTTGTTAGCTGCCTTGTTCAGGTCTAAATTGTAGTTTTTTTTTGTTTTTTTTTTTTTTTCTGTACAGAGCTGTGCGTTTCCTTCCTTTTAGGTGTATCTATGGCAAATGGCACACTCTGCATAATTGGTTAGACTGCTGTGAGAAAATCAATGTAAAAATAATTGATTTACCACCCTTCAAAGCAAGCAGTGTATGTAATAAGCACAATGATCTGAAAGTGCCATGCAAATGATGTGAACATGCTTGCCAGGATATTGCAAGTTGTAGATTCTTAGAGAAGTCATTTGCATCTGATTGTATCGACAGCTCTGGGCATGCATTTCAGCAGATAAACTTTATTTATCACAGTGGCCAAATGGTTAGCACATCTGCTTGGCAGCATTAGGGCTCGCTGGTTCGAATCCCAACCATAGCCCCACCTGCCTGGTGTTTGCTTGTTCTCCCTGTGCCTGCGTGGGTTTCCTCCGGGTACTCTGGTTTCCTTCCGCACTCCAAAGACATGCTGGTAGGTGAACTGGCTCCTCTCTAAATTGTCCCTAGTATGTGTATGTATGAATGTGAGTTTTATTGACTTTAGATTGTACGCCCCTTGAGGGTTAGGGACTGATGTGAATGTACAATATATATGTAAAGCGCTGCGGAAATTGGCGGCGCTATAGAAGTATCAGACAAATGTTTTAAAGCGGTTGTAAAGGTTCAAGGCTTTTTAACTTCATGCATTCTATGCATGAAGGTAAAAAAACCTGTGTGCAGCAGCCCCTTCAATACTTGCCAGAGCCCCATCGTGATCCATCAAAGTGCACGACAGCCTTGTGTGTCCTTGGTCTGTCAGTGGCTGAGACAGCAAGCAGGAGCCATTGGCTCCTGCTGCTGTCAATCACAGCCAATGAGGAGAAAGATGGGGTGGGGCCAAGCCACGGCTCCATGTGTACCGGAGTACCGGCTCGGGAACACCTGCTCGGGTTCCCCCATAACAGGCAGCTTGCTATGGGGGTGCCTGATAGGATGAGCCAGGAGTGCTAACAGGGGACCTGAGAAGAGAATCCGGGCTGCTCTTTGCAAAACCACTACACACAGCAGGTAAGTATATCATAAATAAAAAATGAACCTTTGATATCGCTTTAAAGTGATGCTAAGGGCCCATTCACACCACATGCAGTCCAGTGCGTTTTTTTTTTTTTGTTTTCTCTGCATCACAAACTCATTGATGGGTCACATGGTTTCCAGTGCAGTCAGTTCCAGTGTGTTCCAGTTCCAGAAAAAAAATAGTAGAACATGCTGCATTTTTTCTGTACTGAACTGTACTGGAACGCATCAAAAACACAAGGGAGCTCACATGTCCTTACAGTTGAAGAAAGAGGAGAAAAAATTAACTGGGGCAAGTCCAAAATGTGCCTACATAAATGCATTCAGACTACATTTCTATGGTGTGAACTGGTGCTAAATAAGGACATGTTCTGGTGCATTTTTTTATGCATTTTTCTGCGTTCCAGTACAGTTCAATGCAGAAAAAATGCAGCATGTTCTACTTGGGGGACGGGGTGGGGGGCATTGGGTGGAATGGTGCCCCACTGTTGGGGGGGCATTGGGTGGACTGCTGCCCCACTGTTGGGGGCCATTGGTTGGAATGGTGCCCTACTGTTAGGGGGGCATTGGGAGGAATAGTGCCCCACTGTTGGGGAAGGGAGGGCATTGAATGGAATGGTGCCCTACTGTTGGGCACGATTGGAATGGGGGCATTAAATGGAATGGTGCTCCACTGTTGGGGCATTGTATGGAATTGTGCTTCACTGTTGGGGAGGGGGCATTGGGTGGAATGGTGTCCACAGTGTAGGGGAGGATGTGCCATTGGATGGAATGGTGCCCCACTGTCGAGAGTTCTATTGAGCAGAATGGTGCCCCACTGTTGGGAGGGGATGGGAGGCATTGGGTAGAATGGTAACCCACTTTTTTTTTGGGGGGGGCATTGGGTGGAATGGTGCTCCACTTTTGGAAGCCATTGGGTGGACTGTTGGGGGGGGGGGGGGGGGGAGCATTGTGTGGAATGTTGCTTCACTGTTGGGGGAAGGGGGAGCATTGGGTGAAATGGTTCCCCACTGTTGGAGGTGGGTGGCATAGTTCCCCACTGTTGGGGGTGGGGGGTGCCATTGGGTCGAACAGTGCCCTGCTGTTTGGGGGGGCATTGGGTGGAATGGTGCTCTAATTTTAGGCGCAATTGGGTGGAATGGTGTCCCACTGTTGGGGGTGGCATTCAGTGGCATGTTGCCCCACTGTGGGGGTGGGGGAGGAGAGCATTGGGTGGAATGGTGCCCCACTGTTGGGTGAGGTAATTGGGTGGAATGGTGCCCCACTGTAGGGGGGGGGATGGGGGGCCATTGGGAAGAATGGTGCCCCATGGGGGGGGGTATTGAATGGTGCCCTACTGTTGGGGGCATTGTATGGAATTGTGCTGCACTCTTGGGAAGGGGAAATTGGGTGTAATGGTGCCCTACTGTTGGGGGGGGTTGGCATTGGGTGGAATGGTGCTCCATTATTGGAAGCCATTGGGTGTATGGTGCTTTACTGTTGGGGGGGGGGGGGGGGGGAGAGCATTGTGTGGCATGTT